GCTGAATCTGCTTGAAGAGACGTCTTCTGCAAGTATCTGATGCTCTGAATCATGGCCACTCGTCAGCTTGTCGTCGTGCCGCACGGAAGGCGGCGTGTCGGATGTCTCCGTGGATGATTGAGAAACTAATTAGATGTCAGAGGATGCGGCTACATCCAACACTTGAAGACAAACATGCGCGTCGACTGAAGAAACCTCTGTCATAGTGTGATTTGCATGCTGCGGCACAGTCCAGCTCCTCTTTTGCTACCCGTGATGCTCGGGCAGCTTCATGCAGAGATGATGAGCAGATTTCTCCAACACCCTTTAGCTGAGAGGCCTTGAAGAAACCGATGTCTGCAATGCTTCTTGATCTGAGCCTGCCTCAAAGAGTGCCTTGATGCTGGCTGAAGTTGACTTGACAGCGTGGAGCTCTTGCATTGAGTGGTGCCGCAATGCTCAGGATGAGCGCAGAATATCCAACACCCTTTAGCTGAATCTGATTGAAGAGACGTCTTCTGCAAGTATCTGATGCTCTGAATCATGGCAGCTCGTCAGCTTGTCGTCGTGCCGAACGGAAGGCGTCGTGTCGGATGTCTCCGTGGATGATTGAGAAACTAATTAGATGTCAGAGGATGCGGCTACATCCAACACTTGAAGACAAACATGCGCGTCGACTGAGGAGTGTTGTAGCAACAGGAAGAGAACCACTCATCTGGTGTTTCTCCTCTTCTTTCCTGAAGCTTTAAGCGCAAATCGCTCCGTAGAGCCGAAGAGGAGTTGACAAACTGCCAGGCCTCCGCCCCGGCAGAAGCCGAGCGAGGAGGCGATGTGTGATGGACGATTTTCGGCCGATGCGAGCGTCGACGTTGGGGTTTAGTACCGCTCGATGCAGGCCAGCACGACCGATCCTTCCAGCCAGGGGTCCAAAGGCCAGAGCAGAGAGCGAGCAGCAATTATGTCGCGCATCCTGCTGCAGGGACTTGCTACACCTCTGTCTTGTTTGCGTCTGTGCGGAGCGGGCCTTTTCGCAAAAACCAGGGAGCCTGGTGCTCCCCCACAGTTTATGACTGTGGCTGTGTGGAAGAGAGTGAGGGCCCTGACCAGGAGAGAAATAGGATCTACAACGACATTCCCTCCGAAGCTTCATCTGTGGAATCTACGGACAGCAACACCCCTGCAGCCCTGAGCAGGGGCCTCGGATGCCTCCAGCACACGCGAAGGAAAGGAAGCCTCAGGCCAGCCCGACTTTGGCGCTCTGTTACGTGTGAATTTTTCGGGGCGGGTGGCGCGAGTCACTTCGCCGCCTTTGCAAGATACTGGGGCTCAATGTTAAATCCGACATGAATCAAAACGCACTCGCCGTCTCTGAGCGCCACACTCCACGGAGTCTTGGAATGTGTCCGTTTGGGACACGAATCAGGAGGCAAAAGGATGGTAATTACATGAGGGCCGGCTTTAAAGTGGTCTCGTTAAGGTCGTCAAGGCTCCCACGTGCTCATGCACTGTGAGGCCTTGCTCGCACATAAACGTGGGTAGTGCCCTCTCAGTGTTTGTCACGACATGCAAAGGAGCTAAGGCAGTTGTCGAGGTCACGTGGGATCTTGTCGTTTAGAACATGTGACAACTTTGCGTAACGAGATCCGAGGGAATGCGCCCGAGGAGTCGTTCGGAGTAAAGCTTTTAGCTTTTCCGACTTGTCCCACCCGGAATTCTAAAGAGTCCAGCGAATTCGTTCGCCCCTCCTGCGAAACGCTTCGAGTTGAGGCGACATGTTGCAAAAGCAGCAGCAGCAGCAGCAGCAGCAGCAGCGGCAGTAGCGGCGATTATTACGATTTCTCGCTATTGCAGTGTTGCTATAGGAGGGTTCTGGCCGTGTTCCAGAACTGAGAGCACAATGTCTTTGAGTTCAATTCATTGCGTAAGTCCAGCTGGACGATGAAGAGCGTTTTCTGCCAGGCCATGCCGAGGCCAAGGCCACAACCGCAAACATCGCTGCAAGGGCAGGGAAGCCCAGTGGGAGGAAGTGCCGCATAAACTCTCAAGCTAAGGCGAGCCTCGAGGCACATGAGTGTTGCTCCATCAAAATGCCACCACTGCAGCGGTGGTAGTGCTCGTCGTTCCTCCTGCTGCTGCGACTGCTGCTACTCCTTGCCTGCCTCGCTCCCTCCCTGCCTGCCGGCCGGCCTGCCTGGAGCCTACTACCACCTCCTCTTGCGCCTCGTCGTCCTCCTCCCCCTACTGCTACACTACTACGACTACCTGTTACTGCTGCTGCTATTGCTAGTGCTGCTGCTGCTGCTGCAGCTGCTGGCTGCTGCTACGACGACGACGACGACTACTACTACTACTCCTACTCCTACTCCTACTCCTTCTACTCCTTCTACTCCTTCTACTCCTACTCCTCCTCCTCCTGCTCCTGCTCCTGCCGCCGCTGGCTGCTGCTACTGCCGACTACTACTGACGGCTGCTGCTGCCGTCGCAAACGGTGATAATCATGTTGGTGATCATGAGCATGTAGTGTGTGAAAACTCGGGCCACCATCGCGTCACTTTTCTTTTATAATAACAGGCGTGCTGATTCTGCCAGGGTGCCGCACTGAAAAACAAAAAACAACAGAGAGATCAGTGGAATCCCAAAGCAGGGCCGAAAGGTTCAATCCCCGCGACTTAACATCAGGTAGGGGGTAGAACACAAGACTGGAGTTTGGCCACTGGTTGAAGTCGAATCGTCAACATAGCGGCGTTGAAGTACGTGTTTCGCAACGAGTTCGGCGCTCGGTGGACATGGCCGGCGGGGGACTGTTGCAAGTTGCAAGGACGTGATCTTGGTCCAATGCACTGATGCGGGAGTTGCCGAACGCGGTCGTCCTAGGCGCCGTCACTATCTTATTTCTATGAACCCGTAGCACAAAAAGGCCGGAGGCCCCAGCATTACCACGCAACTTCGCGAACAAGAGTAGCTAACTTGAATCTGTTGCCCGAGCTGCCTCTACTGCTTGGTGTTTGCAATGCCGGCGGGTGGGCTAAAGGTGGCTGCGCGCTTCAGCGACCGACCGGCGGGCGTCCGGCACTTATCTATGGGTCTATGCCAGCATCGGAAAGGAGCTGGTCAAAAAGGCAGTTAGCAAGCCATGGTTCACCCCCAAATTGATCCGAACTCAATCTAGATCTTGAAGCACCTGCACCAGTTGCATCTGGTGGCAGCTGAACTGGGTTATAGCTCCTTTCTGCATGGCTTTCGTCAGGTCACCTCGGCATCTACTGCCCTCGAGGACACGTTCATCCAAAGCCCCGATAAAAGGCGGAGAGCTTCAAAGCTGCGAAAGCGAGAGCATTGACATCTTGTTCCACTGTGCTGGCCTGTGCGAGGCATCGAAAGGAAGCTCCGATCAGGCCAGCTGAGATCACCAGAGGACACGAGAAAGATCGAACAAGCTCTGAAGCATGTTCGCAGCATCCTGTCCCGTAACACGGTAAGAAGTTGTGCAGCTTCATAGTAGACAGACTGCTGCCTTTTTGCTGCAGACCGAAGAGCGCGACCTGAGGCCGTGCGCTGATGGCATGGCGGGCCGGGCCAGCAACTGCTGGGTCCAGGACGGCAATCATTTTCCGAAGAACTGCCTGCTTCCGATCCATGCAGCAGCTTCTTGCGTTTCTCCTTGCTCCCGGAGCCTCCCGAAACACGTAGGATCCGCAGACATGGACCAGCTTGGGGCCTCTGTGAGTTATACGCAGTCTAGCCGTGGTGAGGAGCCCCGGCCTTCGAAGTGGCAGGGGCCGTCTCCGTCGGGGGCCCCAGAAAGAAGGAAGCTCAAGTGCTGTAGGGTCGAAACCTTTGCGCACTTCGGCACCTCTTACATCTTGGGTGATGAACAGCGCATCCAAGCTTCAACATCTGCAGAATCCAAGAAGTGCAGTCGTGACTCAGTGCACTGGCAGCGACCACCTAGCAGGAAGGAACGTGCGGCAACGCCAGAACAACCAATCGGGTCGTGAGATCGTCCACCGGTTGCTTGCTGCTTGTAAGCTTCTTTCCAGGCCTCTCCGTGCTGAAAACCTTTCGCTGCACCGCGGAAGTCAAGCTCTGCCGAGTGGCCGGCAACCAAGGAGCACGGACGGGCGTTTATTGTCAGAGTCTATCGGATATTTCCAGCCCCTCTCCCTTCCTCTGCCTCTTCCTCCCCCACTCCCTCCCTCCCCCGCTCTCCCCGTCTCCCTTTCCCTCCCGTTTCCTCTCCCTTCCTCTCCATCCCTCAGTCTCGCCTCCTCCCTCCCTCACTCTCCCCCCCTCGCCCTCTACCTAGAGTTATACACACACACACACATTGCTACGTACATACTCATAATCATAGGCGCATGCATGGATGGACGGATGGTTGTGCGCACGCTGTTGTGCGCACGCTCCAGCACATTTGTGTGTACATGGGTGGTAGTCAGTGTATACATGAGGTGTACATGAAAGGAAAACATAGCAGTTCTTGATATTGAAATAATATTGACACATTCGTAGACTACTGTGATCCTCACAGCCCCCCAGGTCGGATGAGCCTGCGAAAGGCCAGGAGTGGGACGGACAGAAGAGAAGTTCACGAAGTCAGTCATCGACTTTGTGAAGTGCCCATACAAAAAATAAGCACATACACACATAGACTCCGAGCGCAACAGCACAGCATGTGTGTGGGTGTGTGTATAAGAAAAGATGAAAAACACAGACGGGGTCTGGGTGAAACAAATTTAACCCCTCCGTGAACGTGCTTCCACCCCCGGGCCCTGGTGCAACAGATGCAGACCCGCATGTCCCGAAACTCTGACTAACCTGAGCAACACGAACCCCAAGCCATAAACCCAACCCTGAGTCACATGTCGGTGCGGTTTCGAACCAAACTTATGAATGCCCCGCAGGCACCTGTCCTGCATGCCAGCACAGTCTTGCTGAAAGGTAGGTGGTTGTCCCAGCACCTAGCGCTTTGAGACAATGCCGAACGGCGGCCGCCGCCGCCGCGCCGAGTGGGACAATGGTGGCTTTTGGCAGTGGAGGCAACGTTACGCTGGCAGGCCTTCGCGAAATGCACTCAAACACGATGTGTATGTATCAATGTATGCATGCATGCATGCATGCATGTACATATATATATACACACATACATATACATATTTATAAATAAATAATAGACACACACACATACATACATGTATAAATATATATATATTACATATATATATATGTATGTATGTATGTATGTATGTATGTATGTATGTATGTATGTATGTATGTATGTATGTATAAGTAATGCATAATGACATTATATACATACATACGTACGTATGTATGTAACGTAACGTAACGTAACGTAATGCAATGTAATGTAAGGTAATGTAAGGTATGTAAGGTATGTAATGTATGTGATGTATATAATGTATGTAATGTAAGTAAGTATGTATGTATGTATGCATGCATGTATGTACGCACGTACGTACGATGTATGTATGTGTGTATGTATGTATGTATGTATGTATGTATGTATGTGTGTATGTGTGTATGTATGTATGTACATATGTATGTAGGCCTGTATGTACATACGTACGTACATTCGTAAGTATAATCATGCATGTCTGCATACATAGAGAACCATGTGTGTATATATATATACACATACATATGGACACGAGTTGTTTCACCTTCGCACTTCAAATTGTTCGACCGTCTTGAGACACTGTCCAGTCCCCGGCTTGTTCTTCCCATAGTGCCAGCCGATACTGGAACACGTGGGAAGACGTCGACACCCAACACGGCGATTGTCTCCATCGCAAGTACCAAGTCGCAGAAAAGGAGTTTAACAACGGCGCGGAACTCGAGTGATGCCGAACTCTAATCAGACCGTGTTCATGCACCATCGATTCGGGTCGGGAGGCTGCAAAAATATGCCGCAAGCACCCATCAGCAATGACGTGCAAGTCATGCAGAATTTCTTCCGCCTGCAGTGGATGGACTGCAGGCGGAAGAAATTCTGCATGATCACTTGCACGTCATTGCTAAATGGTGCCGGAGCAGGCCGAAAAGATCTTGCGAGATACGGCGGCCCTGCAGGGGCCGTATGAACACCAAAGAGCAGCGCGCTCTGTGTACGGCTGCGGAGAAGCCTCTGTGGAGTCACTGATTTGTGCAGCAATTCGAAGAAAGGATCTTTGACAATGAGACTCATTGTCAAATCCTTTCTTCGAATTGCTGCACGCCAAGCTGCATGCAAGTCTAACACAGGCTTAGCACCTTTTTCGCACAACCTGGAGCATCAGGTCGAGCGCCTTCTGCTTTTTGTTTCAGTTGGACTGGCAAGCCGAATTTCCAGACGATTTATAAACCCAAATCGATTGCTGTATCGGCACAGGGTTCAGGTATCAGGGCCAAGGGACCAGGGTCTGCTCGGCACTTCAGCACATGACTGCTAAGGCTAAGGCCTTGAAAAGAGCATGTGCTCCGGGTGTTCGCCACAAGAAGTCTGAAGATGTGCCTTGTGAAACTTTTCACATGCGGACACCCAGCCTACAGCTCCATTGCGATCAGTCAGTGTTGTGGGAGCTCTATCAAGCTGCAGACTCAATCTGACGGGCCCCCCGCACGCCCGGCTACTACGAGTGCCACTTAGTGTTGCACTGATGTTCAGAGAGGGCTGCCTCACGATGCGCGGGTTTGCAGGGATAAATTCGAAGGATGGGTTTGAGCATCGAGTCCTGGCTCGGGCAGGAGCGGACCACGTCAGCGGCATCTCTGACATGTGGCATATCGTGACATCGTGTTGCACCAGATGACGAACGGCATGCACCCAATCGACTGACACTCGCCAGGATTACGGGCGCGCATACACATTGCGGCAAGATGCTCCCTGCGCTGGAGTGCGGTGCTGAGCATGTCCGATCTCCTGGTTGTAGCATTCTGCTGCTTCGTGATCTTTCTAATCCCCTGTAGATGACCATGTTTGATTTGATGTTGCTGGACCGCCCAAATAAAGTTTTAAAAGGACTCTGATACTGGGGAGGTCCGCGAGCTTGAAGCTGAACCTGAACTCATAGAAGCCGAAGACCTCAATGTGCCCCTGAACGTGTCGCCTTTCCCTAAGATGGAAACAAAGGCCCATTTGCAACGATTTTCTCGACAGACCCAATGTAGAATTACACACATCTATCTGTGTGTCTGGTGTGCCGGCTTGGATTGGGCTTGACAGTACGATCCGCTCTTCCTTGCGAATGTATTGTAGTTTCGCACATACAAGCTTTGTCGTTGGAAGTATTTTGTGATTGCCTAAACTCTTCCATTGTGTTCAGAGATGTGTATGTCTATGTGGGGTGTACATGTACCGCACATACACACACACACACACGCACACACACCCACACACACCCACACAAGCACAGGTGTTTCCATGTCTGCAATATACTGAGGTTCCCAGCCCCCACGCCACGCGCCGTGCGCCGACCCCGGAGCGCCGAAACGAGGTGCTGCACAATGTTTTTCGTTGGGAAGTGCGGTTTTGTATGTCATGGTATCAGGTTCCGAAATGTGCGATGCTGCCATGAACTCACGACTTCTGAGCGCGACCTCTGCAGGCCCGCGCGAAGTGTCTCTACATCACATCGCACAAGGCCGAAAGATCGCTTCTCCTCGAAAGCTTTAAGTGAAACGTGAGTGCGTCTTGGCAGGACTATGGAAACATGTACCAGAAAATGCCGTGAGCAAATCGGACTTAATGACTTACTGTGCTGTAGGCTGAGCCGCCTTTGGGACCGAGCAGGGCTGATGTTTCCCAGACGACTCATACAGCAAGACTTGAGAGAAGATAGAACCTTCTTTGAGTCTCAGAGCTCCACATCATCCCGGTCCTGGCCTCATCCTCCATTCCCCATTGGGCAATCTCTAGGGAACTTGGAAGCGAGATTGCTTGTGCAAGATTTCGAGAGAGAATCAGAACTGCATTGTTCAGAGGACTTCCAGGCGAGAAGGGGAGTGTGCTGTCAATGCCTTTGTGCTATGGACAGCTGGGTACCTCAGACTGCCCAGCTTCCGTTGCTGTGAAACAGTTGCGGAATTTGCCCCTGGCCCGATCTCGATCCGGCAGAGGATTGCGACGGAGTCACCGCCGAAGCTTTGGTCTTGGTTCTTTTTGTAATGTAGCGCACGTGTGCACCAGGGACGGGCAGAATGTAGTGTCTGCTTTGTTCGAGTTTTGCGGACAGGTGAATAAGTCCGTAGTGCGAGCGAACTAGGTCACACAACTAGCTTGTCCTCTTGTTGCCGCTTGTGGCCTCAGGCAGGGATTTATTCGCCTAGAAGCTGACTCCGCCGCGATTCCTGCACTTCCTGCAAACGTTTCTGCCCCGATGGAGTTGCTGAGCTGGCAAAAGGAAGCGCTGCAGCCTCTCTCAGTGCCTGAGCGCCTTGCTTCAGTTATTCCTTGGGCATTTGCTGATTATCAGCACTTGCATGCGTACAAGTGTGACCTGAGTTCATTCCGGGGGATGCGAAGCTGCAAGGCTGGAAGGTGTGAGGCAGTCTTGCCGCGGTGGTGGCACATCCAAGCATCGAGAGGATTCAGAAGAAGAACAGAAACAGTTGCAGGAACCGCCTAGTAGTAGAACCAGAAATCGCAAGTAAGGCTTTCACCCAAGGATGCCGATTGTGCATGTGCACAGGTTGGCAAAGAGCTGTTCGAAAAGGCACGCGGCTCCCCAGCTGCTTGGTCCACGTTTCGAAGATGCTGGTGCTGGTGATGACTTTGATTATGCTTAGGATTGCAATGTAGCGATGGTGCAGATGCAAGGCTGCGAGAATGAACATGCGGATGGATACTGCCCTAAGAAGCATAATGATGATGATGATGCTGATGATGATGATGATTATGGTGTTGATCGTGAAGCGGTGATGACACTAATGATGTTTACGGTGATGACTTAGACTATGACGATGATGATGATGTTGATGATGCCAGGAGTATCATATTGTTGCTGCTGATGAGCCCGATGTTTGTAGCGTGCCATCCCGTGCATGAATTGTTGCTAGCTTCGGTCTCTTGTCAGCATTCCGCACGACAACTAGTAGTGCTGGTGCAGTTGTGGTAGTAAGTACGACCAGTATTGCTACTGCCGCTAGTGTTGTGACAACAACGGTTTCTGTTGCTGTTGATTTGTAATCTCCTCATTATGATGAACAAGGATCTTCTCGTCGTTGCTGCTGAAGCTGCTGTAGCAAGCGCCGGTGGTTGTCCTCCCTTTACTTCGGACTTGCCGCAAGACCTGAAAACATGGGTTGGAGTAATCCAAAATCAAGGGGAATTCCTCGAAACTTGTTGTAATGAACCTGCGAAGATATGCCATGAATCTACTTCCTGCCGTGTGCTGACGCCATCATGGCAAGGGCAAGGAAGCGAGTGAAATCACGTAGACTGACCATGCATGAAAGCACATAGCCAAAGGTACCGTAAGTTGCACAAGCACCGGAGCGCTGGAAAACGCTCGGGCCAGAGCACCTCGAATCTGGCGATCATGCTTACCATGATGTTTTTAAACTTTTTTGATGCAGCGTCGCTTTTGCGCATGCACTCGGCGAGGGTGTGATAATAAATGCAAGTTTTATAATTCCAGATGCAAAGCTGTGGCACCTAGCATGTCCATGCTGCCCGCCGTCGTGCACAGCACCTAGAGTAAGATTGTGGAATCTAGGCATGCTCCTTGCAAACAAGGCGCAAGTAAGCAGACCTGCCTTTCGCTTCTTCTCGCCATGGGTCGGTTCTCGTCCTGGGCGCAGACTCGCGCAGCTGAGAGCCCCAAAGAGGAAGCCGCCGAGGCCCTCTGAACTGTATACAGGCATGGCACAAAGGTGTGTAGATACGCACACACATATATGTATATGCACAGCACGTCTACGGAGATGGAGATGTATCATGCGTTTATCCTTATTTACGCTCCTGCCAGGCTGTGCAGGCTGTGCAGGAGAAGCAGCTGTTCGTCGTTGAGAACCTGCAGCTCCGCTCCAAGAGCAACGGCATCAGGCAGCTTCGCCTGGCTTGTGCTAACTTGAGCAGCTTCCTCATTAGTTCTATGCGCCACAATCAGATATCGCTGCTCGCCGGACCTGGCTGACAAGCACAGCAAGATCGCTTTATTCGGATCCCGCATCAAGGCGCCCCTGCACCTCTTCCAAGTGGCAACGGTAGCTGAGTAGCTGTCACGGTGACTGTTGCGTGGCCCTGTTCAGGGTATTCCGTATGGAGGGTGCTGGATACAGGCCGCTTGCCGAGTGAGAGCATGCCGAACAGGTCTGCACCAATGATTAGAATCAGACAGCAAGGTCGACTTAAACATCCTTCTTCGAACGTCACACCCAACTGTTGTAACAATTCAGCAAAGGTTGGAAGTCGATTTCTGCCAACTCACATTGGCGGGGCAGAGGTCTTACGCCCCGTTGAGGCCCCGATGAGCGTTTTTCAACTATTAACTTGTCCTGGGCACTGAGTGTTTCAACGTCTGGAGCGCATGCCTTTTCTGGAAGGAGGGTAGTGCCGAAGGCGTCGCCATAGAGCCTGCCGATGACGATGTCAAGGACGCTTTGGGTTTCGCATGTGTGGATGGAAATGGTCGCCAACTTCGGCTGTCCATGTTGTCTGGAAATACGACTCTGCAAGCAGGACAAGCTGCTCGGGCAAATGCTCTTTGGTCGCTCGGAAGGCGATGCTGGCTATATTGCGACTAGGCGGCCTTCGATGGATTCGGTGTGGTTGAGTCTCTGGTGTTTGCTGATGGTTGTATCACCCAGGATCAGCGACAGCTTGACAAGTCGCCGACGCGAATAGCGCGAAACTTGCTGCTCGGCTGTGAACTAGCCGTTCAGCAACTTGCAGTTCGGTTTCGTCTCAGGATCCGTCCGGAGACCTCCATGACCGATGCGCCACTCTTGTCGGTCGGAGATGGGGCTGTCTACGAGGTTCTGCACCTTGGCAGACGAAGACACGGACGTGGCCTTCAAGCATGCTCGATAGCACAGCAAGTGGCCTGTCCTCCGTCTGAAACATGCTTTGGCCTGAGGTATGATCGAGTTGCAATTCGGTCTGCAGCAAGTACAACCTCCACAACCTTGGAGATCAAACAGAATCGTGGCCAGCGTATACAGTATGTCAGTGTGTATGTGTGCTTACTACGGCTCGGAAAGCCTCGCGACAAAAGTTTGCGGCCCATGCAGGTGCTCTTCCATCGCTGCTATGAAGCAGCGATGTTCCAAAGAAGTATATTCAGAAAGCGACCTTACATGATTTGTACTTGGGCACACATCCACCCAGCGACCGCCACTGCCAACATGCCGTGATGACAGCGCATTTCCCCCGACGAACAATCCTTCTGCAGCATAGGCATGCCACACAGAAGTCCTTAAGTTCAACATGACTTAGGCCTTGTCTCACAACCTGCCAGCCGAGCTAACGCTCCAGCAAGACTTGTTCAATATAACTCGAACGCTACGCAGCCCGCCTCGGCTCGACAGTGCAGCAGCCCCTCCCGGGCAGCGTCGTGTGACGGGTTAGCGCGAACAGGGGCGAAAGCTCGTGGCTGCATCAACCTCTTGCTGTCTGTACACCACCTGCAATGTCAGTTCGTGCAACAGCGTGCTTTTGGACATTCGAAAATTGAGGCCGGAGAGGGGAGAGGAAGAGGCGGGGGAGGCTGGGGAGGGGGGGAAAACTGTCTGGAATTGGCCAAAATGGACTGGAACGAAGGGAAAGGACGGGTCAAGGAGGGGCCAGCCGGGGCGGGGGGTCGAAACTGTGCCCAAAAAGCGCATGTCAGTAAATTTTTGGGATTTAGGGAGGAGGATTAGGTGGTGGGTAGCTGTGGCCTCGGCGGATTGTTCCTCCATGCCAAATAGGAAGCAACTTCGCTTGCCAGAAATGCAGCTGCAGAAGTACAACATCTTGAATCTGTATCCACCGTGCTTTACTGGTAGTGCGAGGCTTGGGGTGAGAACAGAATGCAATATCCAGGGCATCACAGACTTCGCTGAAGAAAGGACCCCGATCTGAACTGGATGATATGTCCTGGCTGAAGGAAGGGCGAGACCCTGGAGCTCTTCGAGTGGGATCCTTCACGTAAGTGGCGCCGCTGTGCGGCAGACGCGTCGGCCGCACAGACCATTGTGGATCGTGCTGGCAGTCGTGGATCAGAGTTGCATGGCATGTTTTAGTACTTTCTACTAATCCTGGCCTGAGGCTCGCAACAACCGCGGGCTGGGTGCTGCTGGACCATCCAGAATTTGGGCCCTTGGTGCGGCCAAAGGCCCAACAGGGAACTGCCACTGCTTTCGCGCGGGCTGCCAAGCGCTCCGAGAAGTTTGCAACTAGTGCAGTGGGATGCTGCGACAGGTGTGGAAACTCAATTGTCAAACACTACAAGGAACCCTGCTTTCTTCCTCAAACGGTTGAAAAGTCCTAAGTGAAGCTACTGTATGCTGTTACAGAGACTACTGCTGTATCCACAAGTAGTAACCTGATAACTGCAGGGCCACACCTCTCCAAATCTCCGAAGTTGTACGGCGTGCCAGTCGGATCATAGCAGAGCTGCCAGCTGCAAGGTTTCCCCCAAAGCTCCGAAGTCTGTGAGTCTGCAAGCACACCGAAACAAGGATTGCCAGGATTGTTGTCATGATGACGATGGCGACTACTCTGATTGTTCATTATTAGGGTTGTAGGATTATGAATATAATTACGACTTACGAAGGTTTCCGAAGACTTCAAGACCGCTGCTCAGGGGGCTCCGCTCTGCGCCCGACCACTGGAGCCCTTGTGCGCTGCCGCCGCAGAAGCGCAGCTCGGGGAGCTGCGGCGCTTCCTGAACGAAGGAGCTCACAGGGGCCTTGTCCCGGCTGTTGTGAAACCGTAAGTAATAAGGGGATAACCAGAGCTCTTGCCGGAGATTTGTAAGGAAGGGGCAATTGAAGTGTTGTGTGTTCCAGCCTCATCGGAGGTGCCCAGTCCAGGATCCCGGACTTAGAGCCGAGATTGGCAAACAGAAATTTGGGTGTCTGTTAATGAGTACGTAGTACCTGTTCTGCAACGAATGCGGCAGCCCCTTGACGGCATTGATTCGAAGATGTACGCCTGGATGCGCGGGGAGGACTTGACCCGCGCGTTTGTGATGCTGGCGGCGTTTCCGCGCTCACCCTGGCAGCGTGACGGCCACAGACTGGAGCATGTGATTAGCTATCAGCTAGATGATTGCTGTCACAGATACGACGTGCAATCGTGGCAATTGCATGAGCCGGGATGGAACTCAAGAATTGCAGCTAAAAGTACACGAATTTGGTGCTCACACTCTTGGAGGCATGCTACGTTGCACTCCGGTGCACCCGAAGTCATCAAAAGTACGCTTGACACAAAGAACGCCATTGCATTGCTCTTGCTGTTCATTATTGTTCATTCCTTTTCGGCCAAACACTAAGGCAAGCAGATGCCAGAGACTGCGCGATTCACCTTATCGAGGCCCTAGGTTCATTCCATAGCAAAGCAATGCAAAGCAGCCTGATTTGCGAACAATTTGACTTAAGCAAATTTCTTGAGGCATGTCTTATCGCACACGACGGGGATGCTGAAGAAAAAGTGATCTTCTACACAGCAGAGTCATGCGATGCTAATGGTACCGAGTCGAAACTACTAAAGGGAAGACTACCTGCACTGGGGTTGTGAGGAGCTCAGAATCATCCAAACCATGCTCGGACCCTTTGCTCCCCAACAGAGTCGCGGGAGCTCTCAGCTGAACTCCAGGCCGGCGCTGTGACCACCGCCGCAGCGGGAGATGCAGCGATCAGGCCGAGAGAAGCCGAGAGCCGAGACAAGATGTGGGGATTTGTTTTACGGACGGCTGCGGGGTTCATTCTGTCCGACTCCCCGGGTATGTCCAACAACCCATCCCAAATGGTTCTGGCTTCTGAGCTTGCTCTGTTTTGCCAGCCAGGAATGCCAGCAGTGCAGGCACTCGAGTCTTGATCCAGGTGCATCTCGAACACGTGCTGTGTGCCGACTGTTTGGGCAAAAACAAAGGCTGTGTTTCTAGTCTTTGCAGGCCCTCCTGGGTCACATTGTCGAGGATGATGCTGCATTACAGGTGGGGGTGGGGGAAAGAGTTTTGCTCTCCCAGATCCTGCTCAGACTCGTATAGCTTGACCAGGATGCGCTGGGAGATCTCACCTTGGAGGCGCGCCTGGCAGCCGACAGGCCTCGCAGAGATGCGCAGAACGGCACGCGCGCGGTCCTTTTTCCCTCTGCGTTCCTCGCGTTGATGGCCGGATTTTCGGGAAGTGCGGAGAGGATCCTGGAGCAGCTCTCCGAGGCCGAGGCCCAGGCCCAGGCTCGCGGGGGCGGGCCAGGGGGCCACTGTCACCAGGCAGCTGGCGCATGCTGGCGCATGCTGGGGTTGGTTCGTGGTTCGTGTCTGTTGGGGCCAGGTGCGACGATCCGGACCTGGTGACGCCGAGAGGACACGGAGAGAGAACAGTCTGCGCAGGAAACGCATGACCCGGTTTCTGTTTCGGACCGGCCCAACAGCGAAGGCAGTCTGCGAGGCCCTGCACAGTAGCGCTTGGCAACAGCGAGAATCTTGACCCGAAGACGAAACACGGGTTACAGATCCCCTCTGGGACAGGACGCAGAGAGCTGCTGGTGAAACAACAGCGGTTGAGCCAGAAGGACGGAAGCATTATTTCCCAGCGTGATCTCTGTGGCTGAATTGCAGTGTCACGGATGCTTCAACTGGGTGCTTGCACAAGGTCAGCCCAAACTTCCGCGACGGAAGGGAGGAAAGCTCCACGAGGCCAAGTTCTCTTTGATACAGAATCAGTGGCCTTTATTTGCAACTGCACTCGAGAAGCAGGTGCTTCACAAGGCCGTGGCCGTTCGATACCTTCCGTCCACGACAGCAGATATGGCCGCTGCTCTTGGAAAGCTTCTCACTGTGTCGGCATTTGCTCAAAATGCTCAAAGCAAATGCAGTGATGAGGTTGGCACCCGAATCCTGGGCCAGCTTGTCGAGCTCTTCGAGGAGAGCGCGTGGTGCCAAGATGAGTCTCTGATGGACCGCGACTGCATTCTCCAGACTACAATCAGCCATACAGAGCGAATCATCTCTGTCTTGGATTTTTTGAGACTGAAGTTTGCGGAAGCCTAGGCAGATGGAAAGTGGCGAAAAATGGAAGATGCAGAAAGTGGCGAAGAGGCCCGAAACCAGAGACAATTTCCGGCGACGGCCTGCAAGCGTTCAGCGACATGCCATGACAAGGGCTGGATGCTTTTGCAGCATCCCCAGCTCGCAACTCAGTACTTTCTCGCTTGCGTTTAACCGCTTGGTCTGGAACGAAGGGCAGTCCTTGCCAACTCGGTACGTGATGCTGGCTTCAAGCGAGAGCTCCGGGTCGCGCCTGATGGGCATGCCTTCAGCACACGGGGCACCGGATGCGGCCCGGCCTCGCAACTGCACTCGCTGAAGACTTCTGTTAGGCCCTGCAACTGTGCAGGACCCATCTCTGGGTAGGGGTCATGGTCCTGGTGTTTAGTCCTTGCATGCATCCAGCTTAATGTATTTGTGAGCACGGCGGGAGGAAATGTACCGATTCATCTGGACTGCAATTGGCGCCATAGCCGACGATGCTACCCGATGTGAAGCTGACGCGATCTTCAGGAGCAAGACGCTTGGCCCCTCGTGCTGCAAGCGCGGGCTTATCAGCTGAGCAGCAGCACATCTTGGCAATGTAGGAGCGGTTACAAGTTACAAACAGATCTCCCCTTCGCTTCTTAAAAGGCCTGACGGTTGATGCGCGGCGCCTGCAGCTTCCACGTCCGCCACCACTCCTTGCAGCTTTTGAGTCCATGGCAGCTTTGGAAAGAGGACTTGAGTGCGCTCAGCATTGGCACTATTGCATACCAACTTCGTAAGTATAACTGTCGCAAGCATCACAGTAGCCGTAGCAGCGGCTGTGAGGACAGATAGCAAACCCAGACGAAGGCCGACAAGCGGGTTCCTGAGGGAATTGAGACTTGTCCTGAAGTAAGAGGTTGGATGAGGCATCACAGGAGCCCACAAATCGCTTGCGAGCTGAGGTCGGACACTACTGGCTCAGGAATCCCGAGCTAGCTCCCGAGGCCTTTAAGGCCAGACAGGCTTTTGCAGCCTTCTGCACACTGATGATGCAGGAGATACGCAAAGAGATCTACCGCAGCTGGGCCACTTGGCTTCAGATTTGGCCACCGATTCCATCGCAGGGCGAGCTACCCGAGGCTCAGATAGAGGATCTTTCACATGAGGCCTCTGAAAGCAGCTCGTCAGCTTCGGAGATTTGATCGTGGTTCGCGTTCTCATTACGTGCAGCGTCTTGCGGCAGGCAACGTCTCTGCACTGCTCCTGCTTGGCATTGGCGGCTCGGCGCTGGGCCCACAGCTCGTGTCGGAGGCTGCGCACATGGAAAGACCACGTTGCGGCACAGAGTAGCTGCAAACCCTGAAAGAGTCTCCTCCACACAGGCCTTGGGCCCGGGATTGCGGAGAATCGCTTTCCTAGACAACACGGACCGAAACTTGGAGTGAAGCTGCGCTCTTTAAGCGCTCGTGAGACGTTTTGCGGAACAGAGCCCAGAGGACCCTGACGGCTTCCACACTGTGCTGAGCACCATCGAGCCGGCATCGACATGGGTTGCCGGGCCGCACGGGAGCAGACAGTCTGGGTTTCTGGCTTCGTAGCCAACAGCACTTGCAGGTTCTGGTCGCATCCAAGTCCGGTGGAACCGTTGAGACCCGCAACGCCTTGGTTGAAACGAAGGCCCCTTGCCACGCGAGTGATGCCTGCGTGACAGTCAAAACCTGTCAACATCTTGTCAACACTATCAATCTGAGTTTGTTGCAACTTACCCTGTTCAAGGCACACTTCCTCTCCCATGGTGTGGATTTCTCTTCGAAAGCTCTCGCCATTACATGCGCCGGCTCGCGTCTGGACGGGTGAGTCTTGGGTGATCTGGTGCATGTATGATACAAGGTCAGCAATACAAGACATCCGAAGTGCTATATGGTATAATTGCAAGTGGGGGAGGACCGGATGGCCTCTGAAGAGCACTGGCGTGGCCGGTGCTTCTGGCGGCACTGGTGGTTTGCAGCTTTGAGCTAGCCGCTAGCCACGTCTGGTGCAGTGCCTTGCCTCCAGAGGCTTCATCTTTGGGATTTCGTTGGCGGCCGAACCTCCTGGGCCTCCGCAGTGGGTTTCACGGCAAAAAGGCTGGTCACCAGGGCAGTGAATAGTGAAGGTTTCTCAAGTGGCCTCAGCCCAGGTTTGCTGCCTGCGGCGCTTCTGGGAATGGATTGGAGATCCCTCCTCAGGCCGGCAGTGCTGGGGGCGAGGCATCCATGCCTGTGCACTCGCGATCGCGGTTCGCAACTTTCGTGTTGGGTGTGAGGGCTCCTTGCAGCCTCGGGGGTGCAGCCGCCTGCGATGTCGCCACTCGAACCCTGTCAGCAGGGTGCCTCGGCTGGCAAAGACAAGACGAGCTAGGGAAGGCTTGTGCAGGGATTGCTTGTCGTTCTTGACCTCGGTTATCAAAAGGGGCTCTGGCCACCGGACTACTCCTCTCTGGAGCAGTGGATGTTGTGAGGGAGCAAACTGGGCGTGTACTCGCAGATTCGAGTGTGGTTGTCTCAAGCTGTTGCTAATTTTGTGGTCTCTTCCATCGAAAGTCTCTTGAACCGGCCTATTGCACTGCTTGCCGCCGTCTTTGCGGTGACGCAAGCAGGGAATTAAGGTGCAGTTTGTCGGGTCCTGTTGCTCTCTAGGCTTAGTTAGAAACAGCCCGACGAGGCATTCAAGCCAGCTTCTGTGAAGCCATTTGCGCCTCGAGGAATCCTGCCGTCTTGCTGGCTCGTGCTTGGCAGTCGCTGGCGGGAAGGGCGATGGTGGTGTTGCCGTACAGGCCACAGAGCTTCCGGTGAGATCGAGAAGCGAAGAATTCCAAGCATTTGCGCAGGGACCGCCTCCAGCTGTTTGGGCGCTACTTGCAGCAGTTGGTCATGGAATCTCTCGGCAAGGCTCCGGTGCCCGAGAACCAACCCGAAGGGTTGCTTTTCGCGGTGTTCCCTGCAGACAGGCAAGGAACTTGCAAGGCGACCTGGTGAACCACGGTCTGACAGTGTACGGGAACAAAGGATCCACGGACCAGCATGCGCCTTGCCCAGACTGCATTCGTTTTCCACTGCAACATTCGCCCGCCTCACTTCCCGTCAGAGGCGATTTTGCAGCAGCTTCTGGACGGCCCTGATGATTTCTTTGTCGTCTTCATTGCGATTATGGAGGGGGTCCACGATAAGGACAGCAAAGAGGCCACCTGCCCCTTCCAGCAAGCGAGTTGCATCTGATGCCACGCACAAACCCTGTCAGGTCGAAACAGGGATCACCAGCAGCGACTATCTCTTGGCCTTCCTTGTTGGCACACGTCGCGCACTGACAGCTGCCGGACGCAGGACTTCATGGACGGTTCCGACCATGAGAATTCCTAAGTTTTGAGAAGCCCAAAACACCTGCGACTTCTGCAAGCACATACTTCTTTTTCCCTTGGCGCATAGGAACTCTGCCTTGCTGTTGAGTACAGACCTTCATTGCCGGTTGAATCCCGCGGATGTAGTGGTCTCGAGGAGCCTCACCATCACCTTGCAGCGCGTGGACGCTTTCCATTTGGGGGCACCTCGGCTGAGATGACCCGTCTTTAACGACGGGATGCGCTCGCTGATAGCAGCAAATTGAGGGCATGATGCAACTCTCGAAACCAGGTGCTCATCGCTTTGTTCGAAAGGGCAGTGGGATTGTATGCAGCGCTGATCGGAGCAGCTTGTCACTAAATCAATTTTGCAGTGCTTGGAGCGACTGTGGCTTCGATAGGAAGCATGTCAAGGTGAATGCCTACAACCAACCTGCTGTCGAGTTTGGGAAGCAAGCTGCATCAGATGTTCTCACTCTTCTGCGGGTGCTCCGAGATAACGACACATCGGCTGTATATTGGGTGCATTGGTGCATGTGTGCATGTATGACCTCTTGAAGGGTAAAGAGCTCATGTTTGGATAGGTTATATAGATGGACGCGGAAACACCTTGCACTTCGGCCTGAGGCCAAAGATGCAGACCAAGATGATGTTGAGATACTGCGAGAACACCTTGCGCTTCAGCAGGGTGGGTGGGAAAAAAAAGTCATCCACATGCAAGAGCATTGTGGCAGAGTATTGCAGTCTGGCGCGGCTGTGACTACAGTCGCGAGCAGGCTTTTAACACACGGTAACATAGATCCGTGGAAACAGTCGTCTCAGGTTGGGTTTGCTGCTCCGTGCGGTCGAAGATGCGTAGCGCTCAGGTGTTTGCGAGGCGAAACATCATCTGTAGGTTCTAAGCAGAGGGTAGGTAGTAGCAAGCGAAATGGTCTTGCCTTTACATGCTGAGGAACGTCTGGAGTGACAGTGGGAGTGCCTGCGCCTCGGTTTTCTTCCCTCGCTCGTCCAGCACTATAAGCAACATTCACCACAGGAACAGCAGGCGCACTCCTGCAGGCAGACCTGATGCGGCTGGAGAGCCACTGTCTCACGCTCGGGAATGGTTCTCAGGAAGACCGCAAGTCGGCTGAACCGCTCTGTAGTTTGGACATGTTGATTATGCCGAGAAGCTCACCTCTGACCCGGCAAGTCTCTCATGCAACAAGTCGTGACAGGCAATGTTTCGCTTTACCTGCAAGGCAGCTGTGTCCAGCCAGAAACGGAGCGCACTCGCTCATCGGATCTGCATCGCATTTTGTTTTGCTTCGACCGTTCGACACGTTGTGCTGGAGGAAGCTATGAAGGGGCGTCAGTTGCTTGTGCAGCTAGCCGCTAGCGAGCATAAGATTCCTAAGCGGAGCCGAGCTGCACTGGCAGCATCTACCGGTGGATACCAATGGTGCTTTTCTTGCATGGCAGATTGAGCCAGTGAGCCGTTCAGATCCCCAGCCCCTCGCAACTTTCATTGAACCTGCCGAACAAGTCTCCTGTGCTGGGCAGCGCCAATGCAATGGCACTGGCTTCTGTTGAGCTCCCTGCTGCAAGGGGACTTCTGCAAGTGTTGAGAAAGGTGGTTAAGGTGGTGCCCACTCTTCCCAGGCGACTTGAAGTTGAGCAAGCATCTTGTATTTGACATCCAGAGGTGTCGCACACGATGTCACCGAAGCCATGTGCAATGCACTGAGGCCTCGGTGCCGCCGAGCAGCTTCGAGGCGAGGCGAAGAGAAGCATTCGGCAAAAGAACGACGAGAAATCTCTATCGCCCGCACAATTGCTATATTGACGGTCTGCTTGGGTGCATGGTAGATAGATATAGGTAGGGTCTGAGGTTGACTATAAGCCTGGATAGCCGGAACGTGGGGTGTTTCAGCTGTTTCACCTCATATTGCTCTTGCATGATGCCTTAGCCCTCGTAGTTTTTGCAGCTATCAGTGTTACGGGGGGATGCCTAGAGTCTTAGAGGCTGCCTGCAGCGCGTCCTCGATGCCGGCTGGAATGCTGCATGGCAGCGAATGGCCGAGCAGAGATTTTCCGGCTCTTCCTGTGCTTGGCGCGTATCTGTTCTTCGGCCTGTTGTCTGATACGAAGCTCAGGTAACGCCCTGCTGGCCGAGTCCTTGGGGCCCGTACGCAGCAGGTGCGGTGGGTTCGGGGGTAGCCGGCGTGCAGTTACACTGCACTTGGTCCAGCAATCTCACAGTTAAGCCCCATCGAGAGGCCGAAGGGTGTGCTGCATCAACGGCCAAGTGTATCTCGTGAAGTTGCGGTTCTTTCCATCATCAGGTCAAGTTGGAGGAGCTCCCGAACACCCGTCCTGGAGCGATGGTCTGGACGTTTACGACACCGACGGCCAGCACGTGGGAACCAGCACTGCCTGGCAGGCGCAGACTGGTCGGATCTCCTAGGGCAGGGCCAACTTGAAGGTGAGGGGACCCTACAGGACTGAACGTTGCTCATGTAGCTCAAGTAGGCTTCTGTACTCATAGGCTCAAACGTCCTGCCAGTGGCATCGGACTGTGTATGCTGCATCCTCAGATCGAGTCGCTGAGCATTGATGTCTGCGGTGGCCGGTGTTTCAAGACATGCCTCAGGTGATTCCACGCTTGCCCGATGGCCGTATACTCTTCCAGAGACGTGCTGACTGGAAGTGGCGGATGGGCGGCTTGTGGGACCTAGGCGAGCCAAGGGCTGGACGAGGGGGTGCCGTGTCGCCCAGCTTGACAATCCGTAAACTGCGGGCAGCCTCAACTGGTGTGGGCTACCGTGTATGGATAGGAAACTCACAACATTGACATCTTGGGATGACTATGGTGGAATGGTGGTCTAATCGCTTCACGCGCGCCGTGTTTTGTTCTGGTCGGACTAGCCGGGTGTTCCTTGTCAACGCATGACGAATGAGGTGAGCTTGGCAGCGTCGTCATCCATGCATGTCTACTTCGTGCATGACATCTCATGACCGCCTTACGTCCTGAATTACAAACACACTCACATGCTGCAACGGCATCCAGCCACTTAAGCATCAACAGCTAAGTGTGAGGATGTCAATGCTAAAAACGCATCGAGTCTCATGGCAATTGACGGTCGTCAGGAGGTGCTGTTGGGCATTCTGCGAGGGCGTAGATTTTCAGACAGAGCATTCATCTCCAACTCCGCACTATCGCAACATCCTGTCTTCAAGGTGTCGAGGCCGACGCATCGAAGAGACTCCACCAACCCTGAAATCGAGATGCTGCATGTTTTAACGGCTCGGTGCAGAAGTAAAACGTGATGAACAACGGGCTCGTCTCACGCATCTTCTGGCGAGACAGCATGAGCAGCACGAGAGGTCAAGACCGGCAAGAGCAAAAGGCGAAGAAAAACAATCGAGATGACGAGGGAAAGAGCGTGGTGTGCGCCAGTCTTTCACCTGCGCCCCCGGTGGGCCTTGGCGAGGTGCCTCGGAGACGGTCGAGATGGGCGAGGACCTTCAGGCGGCCGCCCAGCGTGCAGTCCACGAGGACGGAGAGAGAAAAAGCAGGGGTCAGAGAGAAGGCCCCCGACGGAAGCGGACTGCTCGCTCGCAGAGGAGCTTGGGAGCCGTGCAGCGCTGCTGGCTCTCACGGAGTGTTGTCGACTCAACACAGGTGCCCGAAGAGCAGAGCAGACCGATCGCATATGAGAACTTGCAACTGGCGAAGCTGACTCACGCATAGGCTGGAGTGGAGCATTGCCAAAGATGCAGCTTTGCCAGTGTCTGAGCTGAAAGTAAAGTTCCTGGTTTCGGGCTGGTGCGTGCAGGCAGCTGTTAATGCTCTGTTGCCCAACAGCCGACGGCTCTACCTTCTCGGCCCACTGGGACGAGATCACGTGCAGCATAGCACTACGAGTAGTAGGACTGTTGTGACCGCGAAGGTTAGATCAAAACATCGTCTACACCGCCAAGGGGAGCTTGGGTGCAGATGCAGGCGACCGTGATGAGGAAGTGGATGCACTGGAGTATTGGTCGCTTGACGACTACACCATGCAAGCTGAGACTTGGTTCTGAAGTTTTCAGCTTATGCATATAAAAACCTACGTGGTTTCCACCTGTGCTGAGTGAGCGGTCTCTAAGGAGCTGGACCGCTACAAATTTGCACCCTGGGTGCACGCCCTTATCGTTGGATGTCCACGCTGCTTTGGCACGGCTGCGACCACTGAGCTTTAGCCAAACAAGCGTTGAGATGCACCCGTTGCTCAAGGTTGCACAGTGTGTTCTTGGTCTGCTGAGCTCCTTCAAGATGCGCTGCACATGTTCAGAGCATGCCCCTCGCAGGCAAAAAAAGCTGTGAAGGGCGAGTGAAGAGCTACACCGATGGCTGCGGACGAAGGTGACCGCTCCACGGCCTTGTGCATCACAAGTCAAAGCCAAAGTCCTCATTGGCTTTCTTCTTGTGAGGTGGGCAGAGCGCTTCGTTCTCCGCAGTGGCTCGTTGACCAAAATGCCGTTGTCAGAAGGTCGGCTGAGCAAAGCGTCATGAAACCTGTGACTTTAAAATACCTGTAATGACTTGGATACGTACAGATGGTTCGCAGGCAGGTGCACGTGCAGCTTTCTTCGTCCAGTGTAGAAGATGCATGAAGGAGGGCAGACTAGACCCCCAAACTCCCCTCAACACCACCAGCATGCACAGTGTCAACTTGCCGCCCTGGGGTCGACTTAGATGGAACCCTCGGCAATTTCTGTCGAAGTCGTCATGTTTTCCATTCGTCTTGGGGCTTCAAGGCGGCCCTTGTGGAAGTGCTCTTACACACAGAGCTGCCTGCAAGTGTAGTTTAGGCGGCGAGTTGCAGAACAGTTGCACACAGAAGAGGCGAGGCAAGGAACCACATGCATCTCGTTGCATCTCTGGGTGTGCTGCAAAAAAGGAGCATCGGGTGAGCACACACCAACTTGCGTGCTGGCTGTCATGGTCAGTGCGATAGCATCTCACCATCTTTCCGGCCTGCCACCCGCACTGGCTCAACGTAGTGTTACCGCTCCACCTCCGGCACAGAGTGCGTAAGAGGGGGCCGAGCTTGGTGACCGGGCAGCCTTTATCTATTCAATGTGGAACCCACTTAATTGAGCCTATGGGTGCACTTTGACAAACCGGGTGCAACATATGACTTTTTGTATCGGCAATGCGGGGCACAGATCCGGAGCAGACAGAACATGCAGCCGCCGTTCCTCCAAAGGCAAGTCAGCAGCTTTGCAGCAACCCTGTCACCCGTCAACCCCGAAGAGAGTCAACATTACGTATCGGCGTCGATCCGTCACAACGACGACCGCTTGCTGCAAAGATACACTCGCTTGTGAGTCAGTCGTAGAGTCAATGCCGCCCCTAGCTTGGCAAGAGTGCTAATGGCATCCGATCCGTTGGACCAGGAGTGTTGCACTCAGATGCGTCACCACTCGGATGGGAGTTGCACTCAGGGGGGTTCCGACGCAAGGCTTGGCCAGCTGCTTCTCTCCCTGCGCTCAGCCGATGGGTTGGGGCCTTGTGGAGCGCGAGCCCCGAGACATGTCGAGACTCCGAGGCCTCAGAGGAATGCTGCAGAGGCTGCACTCGAAGGCATGGGATGAGCCTTAGATGTGTTAGTGGATGTGCAAGCTCGACATGCGCAGGGGTGCGGCTGAAGCCTGGCTTTGCCACGCGGTCGGCATCTCGTGACCTGCATCGGTGCACCCAGTCGCTTGGAATCACGGTTCGGGCGATGCTCAAGGCTGGCCGTTTGGGCGGTGCAGGACCACGGCTCGCAGGTGGGCGCAGGGTAACCAAACGCGCCAGGGCTGTTTGTCTCAAGCTGCGTGGCAGCGCTTCCCCCTGGAGAGTCCAGCCATTTGAGTTAATCGAAAGCATCCTCGAGGATGCCGTGCCCCTTCGACAGATGGCCTTGACCATCCTGTGCGGCCGCCGTGCGATTTCGCGTGCAAGTCTTCACCGCATTTCACCGCCTTTTTCTGTCCGTGGTCTCGCCAGGAGAAAACTGACGCAGCGCCAGTGGTCCGAGTTGTCCGCGCAGGACCAGGAGGCTCTTCGAACGGCTTGAGCCTGAGCCTCGCAGAGTTCATAGCAGTCATAGCAGTCATAGCATAGCAGAGCACCGCCTGCGTTGGAGCAAGGCCTTGTTGCCAGGCCTCGGCGAGAAGAACAGCAGCTTGCAAGGCCGCAGCAGTGGCGGGTGGGCAGAGGGTGCGTCGATTCGGTGTCACAGGCCTCCTCTTCGCCTGCATCGCCAACGTTCAGGCAGCCGGTCCCTGGCCCGCACGGGAGCCTAGCCTCGGCATGCCGCCTTGTCATGGCCGCCGCTGCGTTCCGCGTCTCTCTGCGTTCCGGCTCAGGCGTTGCAAGCGCAGCTCTCAGCAGGAATCCTGCAGGGCAACGGAGAGCAGGCCGGAGTTGCGTTGCCTCTGGAGACTTCGAGGCTTGTGTATCGCCCTTTAATAGCTTGAAAAGCCAGTCGTTCAGAGGCTGCAGCTTGCGTGGAGTGCACTGTGCTAAGACTTGCAGATGCACTCAAACTTAAGCTGGTGCGGACTCGCGTTAAGATCACTCTCAGGTGCTGCAGTATTACTGGATGACTGCAGCCCGGAGGCACGGACCCGCCCTGCGGTGTTGCAAGCCATCGTTTCTTAGGTTGTACTGTATCTAGCGTGGGCCAGATGTGCAAACTCGCAAGCAGACGCGTCCGTGGATTCTTGATCATGTCTGAAAAGTTTCAAGAACATTCGAGAACACGGCTGCAAATTCATGTCATTCACCCGCCTTCTTCACCGCGTGTCAAGCTGCTGCTGTTCATTTACAGCATCAGTTCAAGGCTTCAAGGCGCGGCTCACGACCGTCCGATGGCCTGTTGCTGCCATGCGCTTCGAGTGGCACAGCATCATGCAGATTGGCAACACTTGCCGTTGATGATGGGGACTATGGCCCAGGAGCTGCGCGGAGACCGAAGAGTAGCCAAATCTGTGCAAGAAGAGGATTACCTTTGTGGTCTATGACGGTATATGGCTTGGCGAAGCGATTTCAGATTTGGATTCAAGGAACCTTTGGCCGGAACCGGCCCTGCACCGTGGTCTTGAAGGGAGTTGAGTACATCTGTGTATACCCCCCGTTCGTGCCAACACCTCCCCTCGACGACTTACCATACTCGTACAACTCAGCAAGGACATGTGGTGTGCTTTTCGAAGAGAACATGTCTCAAAGCTACGAGTCGTTCCAGCTTTCAACAGCAAGCATTCGACGAAAACGCACCGCCCGGCAACCACAGCCACTACGGCAGTTAGCCATGGAGGTAGGTGGCTTCTCCACTCTCGCTGCAATTGAGATGCCGCAAGTCCTTGTCCGGTCATGTCCGGTCCTCACCTTCGCTGGCTTGACTTCGACGTGAAGCGTGGAATCACGTCGAATTGATTCTTCCCTAGTGCCGCACCACAAGTCACGAGGAATCACTTTTTGCGACTGCTAATAAAGCCCAGGTTCCCCAACTAAGAATGCACAGAAGCGAGCCACTTCGAACATAATGAGCACAAGACTTCCGACCTTTCACGAGCAGATGCCGATGTACGATGGGTTCACATGGTTCACATAAAGGCAGCTCCGCAGTCGCCCTTGCGCCCTGAGCAAATGATTGAACCGGTAGTCGCTGCATGGCAGCTGTCTCATTATGTCTCATTCAGACCTTCGGCAGCTTGCTCCCCATACGCTGCAGGAGGCCGTAGTGGTACCCGTTACCATGCCTTCTGTTCAATACCTCACTCAGTGAACACCGTGGCAATGGATTGATGGAACCTGTCGTCCGGTGGTGAAGGTTCCAGCTCTGTGCAAGTCTGCTAGAAGTGTTGCGCCTTCTCCGCACAAGCCGGCACATCTGGCAAAGCGCTGTCTGCGCTTCGAAAACCTGTGCGGCATGGTTGTGCTTGGGTGTGGCTCAAAGTCAGGTGGTCGTGTCAGAGTCTCGTCAGGTGGTGAAGTCCCTGAGCCACCTGCAGGCACAGGGCTCGGGCATTAGGAGAGCGTGTACTGTGTGTCGAGGGTTCACATCGTTGGAGACAGCCTGGGTCATGTTCGGAGGTCCCATTGCTGCAGCTGGCTTCGGCAGAGGCAACAGCGGTGATGCACCGCCGCATCTGCAGCACTATGCCAGGAGGGGAGCGGGGAATCGCTTGTGCCGCAGGCATCTGCACCGGAGCTGCGGCGAAGCTGTGCCGAGTACCAAGAGCAGAGCGGCGCTTTCCAGTCTAGTCTTCCTTTTCAACTCCTGTGCCGAGATTCGGGCACACGTATCGAGTGTCGGGCTCAGTTGGCGATTGCCACAACAGGGCGTTTAGTTGGGAAGGGTTGCGATTGGCTCGGTCATAGCCGCGGCCGTCTTGCACACGTGATAAGTCAGGTGCTAGGCAGGTGTAGCCGACTAGCCTGAGGCAATGAGCGTTCAAGCTCGTAGCGGATATTTGCCACATCAAGCAGATAAATCAACATGAGAGCCCCACGGCAACATGCGAAGCTGAAATCGCGTTGGGCATCAAGCATGTTAGGCTGCACTCTTGGACACTGGCATATGGGAAATGCAGCATGCCGCTTTGAAAGGACGAGCACCACCAGCGGACATTGAACACATATCATGAAGGCGTGACACATCGCGACACGACTGCCAAGACGAGCTGAAATTGCTTGGGAGAGAGCCTTGGTTTTTGGCCATGCGGATGCGCCTCTCCGCTTCAAGCATATGGGCTGCCTCGGGCTCGACGCGCAAAGGGCGCCTAGGCCATGGGCTGCTTGCGCTGCTGCTTCTCGCGCTGGGGAGCTCCGCCGATGATCTGTCTCTGTCTGTCTGTTTGTACGTATGTCTTTGCGTCTTCTGTGTGCGTGTTTGTGTGTGTGCTGGGCGGCAGCTGCCTCACACCCCTGTTCAGAAATGCTCTCTGCATCTTTGTCACTGGAAGCCAGTTCGGCACGTTCAGAAGAGCTCAGATGATGTAGTTCATGTTTCTTCACACAGAGTCCAAGTTCCCATCATTACACTGTGCCCATGCTTTTATCGATCAGCTTTTTCTGCTCCGCTGTTTTATGCAGTGCCAGTCTGAGGAGCAGCAGTCTGAGCTTCAGCAGCATCTCGCTGAAGCGGAGCCAAGCCCGATTAGAGGCGATTGGGAGACCCGCAAGAGGGATCAAGAGGGAAATTGCAAACTGGGAGCAGCCTGCACAGAAGGAGACTCTTTTCATTTCGGGACCCGCGAGAGCAGGTGCGGATTTTGAGGTGTTATATTGTAACATAAATATTTACATATTAGCCGTCAATGTAACATGAATATTTACTTATTAGCCGTCAATATTATGGAAGAGCAGAGCTAGTCGACAGCGGACATGAGATGGCATAAATCGTGGTTTGATCTTCAGAACGATAGGGGACATGTAGAAAACGATACCGTGTAAGTGCCTTTGAGCGACTCCGACTGGCGTTTCTCTCTGAAGAGCCAGACTGTCTGTGAGGACTACAGGTGTACTACCAGCGAGCACAATCTAGCCAGGAGCCGAAACGAGGCATTTCCAGTACCAAAGTTGTACTTTTTGCGAGCACACTCCAGCCAGGAGCATCCTGGAGCATCCCGACATGGGTTTTGATCTGCAGAGCGATAGGGGACACGCAAAAAACGGTAACCCCCAGATCAATGTCCCTTTGCCGAGCCAGTAATTTTGGCCGTGGCTCATACGAACTTACAGAGACATGCAGTCGTGACCATTGTTCAGCATGTGTTCGCGCGTGTGCATGTTGTTTCTTGCAATGTCAACAGCACGGAAGAAGCATGATTTATCCCTTGCGCGAACTATTTGCTGCCCCTTCTCGCACAGCAGCTTCCATGCCGTCGCAGCAACAGGTAAAGTCCTGGAATCCTGGCGATGAGCCAGAAGATGCGGACAAGGATGCCAAGGAAATTACGTACCAGATTTGCCAATCCGGGCGGAAGAGGCAAGGGCACCAAAGTGCTGCCTGTAGGTCCTGCGAAATGCAGACGCGTCAGAGATCGTCAGAGCTCCTAGAGGTGCTAGATGCTTCGTAGCTCTCCAGCCTGAAATTGCCGTTCCTGCAAGCTGGCATGTTGAGCTTGGGGCAGAGGGCCCCCAATGTTGGACAATCCCCCTTGGGAGGAATTTCCTGGCGGCGAAGGAGGCCTTTGAGGAGGCTGAGGTGAAGGACGCAATCATGCAGCTGGTCTGCGACTTGCTATGTCATGCTTACATACGTTCACACAACTTGCACCTCCACAAGTGCCTGCAACAGAAAGCAGATTTCTTTCGGGTCGACGGTCTGGACTGAAAAAGCGTAGCTGACGTCTTGGTGTCGGTGCCAACCTGACAACATCACAAGAGGGCAGAGCCATCACTTTATGTTGCAGCTGCGATTTTTCATTCGTAACAGGTACAGTGCGATCATTGGTGCCTTAGCATGCATTCAGACGTCGGTTTGAGTCTGATGTGTAACAACAGCCCAAGACAGCTGACCACTTTACCTGCAGGTGCTGCCGCAAATTGCAAAGAATTTGACGAGGGAATGGCCTATTTCGAGGAGATGCCGGCAGCCCGGCTGGAAAACTTCACAAGCAGAAATTCTCGTGAGGAGATCCAAAGCAGCTCCTTGGAAGCCGGTGACAGCGTCTACAGCGCCACATTGAAGCTCCTGGGGATTCAGGGCAACTACGAAGAAGCCAGCAGGAGCGCTCGTTCATTCTTCAACTGGCTTACAGCCACGGGGGAGGGAGGGTCTCTCAGCCTCTTCGACGCCGTGTTTCCGGGGCGGAGAGGCCATTCTGATGTGCTTGATGAGTCGGACAGAGTCGGAGCGCCATTCCTGATCATTCTGAGTGCTAAGACAGTTTCCGCCGAATCGGACAGTGAGCCTCGAGGATTTGGCAGCAGATGGTCGACACAGGGCTGCTAAAGAGATCATCCCGACAGCAGGGCGACTCAGCTGCGAAACAGCCGATTTCGGCTTAGGACTTTGTTCGATCACGTGTGGTCTTCTATAGGGCCTCGTCATTCTTGTACACCCGTCAATGGCCCATCCATATCTGATCTGCAATTCAACAAACTACATTATATGGCGTCTGGATGCCCGTAGAACCCTTTCGAAAGTCACAGAATCTCGGACGTGTGTGCCTGCTTTATGGCCGCAGGCTGCCTTACTGGGCTTCTGAATGCTGCCGCATCTGCAGGACGTTGAGGGGGCGTTCGAAAACGCTTGAAAAGCACACTGACTCTTCGACAGGAGATGTTGAGCTCGTTCTCAAGGACGTGGTTGCGAGCAGACGGATCATTCGTTTCTTTTTGAGCACTTTGCCCAAGGCCATTTTTGGCTGAGTCGAAAACTGACTGGCAGGACATGGACGCAGCTCAAGCCACAGGCACTGTCTTGCCCAAGACGACGCCATGCACAACGGTACTTCAATAGTAGAGTAGACAATGACAACGAGACAACTACTAGCGCTGATGCTGATGACCTGCATACGAAGCAAGGACGAGAAGTTTCTTGAGCTTTTGTAGAATGCCTGGTAGCACAGAGCTGTCGAGAGAAGGCGTCGAGCTCAACCCGTCGCATTTTGGCTGCCTTCTGAAAGCTTGCCGACAAAGCAGAGACGCTGGGACTAACTCGCCCGTTGCAGTTTGCAGAGTTGGAGCTTTGTGTCCGAACAAGATGTGGTAAATACAGTGATGTGGCGCTGTGCCGTTGATTTCTTCAGGTGTCAATAGCCCTGATGCTCTGATGCTGGCTGTCCAAGGATCTCGAGAATGCCGAGAAGGCACTGAAGCGCATGCGTACCGCAAGCATCCCGACGCTCTGGCGGCAGGTTGTTCAAGCAAGATGTAAATTGAGGACACATAAGAAGTCGTCTTCCTGAGGTAGTGATGACCTGAGTGGTTTCCATTTTTTGTTGCGCCGTAAGAAACCTTACCACTAGGCCATACATCACCGTGCCAATTCAAGGGCCAACATTATCCACTACACCATCTACATGGGGGCATGTGCAAGGCCTGGATCAGCTGTGAGAAGCCAGAGCGCTTTGGGTTTAAGCTGACGTGCCTGCACAACTTTGTAAGCCAACAGACAGACCGAAGCAAAGCATCACGATTGTGTTACATGATCACCAGTAGATTTTGGCGATATCTGTAGGTTCGTGGCAGACGAGCAACCTGGGCATGCTGCGGCTGTAGAGCTTGAGCCACTCGGATCCACCTGGACTGGTTCAAAGCTATAGCCGAGCTTTCGGTTGTTATCTTCGGAAGTTCCATGGGTTCGGATCGACAGAACAAGCATGCCACTTGGCATGTGCAGCTGCTCTCAGCTCCTACGTGTCATGCAGCGAGCTCTTTCGGGTTGCAATTCAGCGATTCCCCGCCGAGGCAGAAAGTTCTGTCCATGATGGACGAGGACATGGTGACCGCCCTGGCTTTTTGGTCTGTGGATGTTGGACTGCAATCATCCGCAACTGCCAACCTCACCGATCCCAGGTGAAGCCCAACGATTACTTCCTGGAGGCGCAAGCTGCTGCAGTGAACCTCTGTCTGATGATAGCATCCATGGAGAGCAAGCCTGATGAAGGAGCGAATCCTTCTCCATCTCGGAATTGCTAGTTTGAGGCCTGGCCTTCCGAAGGGTTTGCTCAGAGGACCGAAGTCCACTCACTGGCAGGGATTGGCTGTACGATGAGGATGCACCGAGGCCGCTGCTGCCGGCACGGTAACTTGAAGTCGCGTGTTCTTCCGAATCTCTTCACTGCCACTGCCGCGTGACATGCAAATCTTTGAGGTACCTATACCCACAGAGCCAGTCTGACTCGCTGCTTTTGCAGTCCCTCTCAACTCTACCCCAACGGTCAAAGAATTGGATGCTTCTGCAACGTGGCGTTGGAGCAGTGCGGTCGGGTGATGAGTTGCAAGGACCAAAAGCATCATGCAACATGCTGTGCTAGATCGATTCTTTGCCGACGTTGAAACGACTAGTCGCCTAAGTTCAGCAGCTAGTGCAGCACGCGCATCACCCCCAAAGCAACTTGACGCTTGTGCGCCGCAGAGGTACAGTCTCATGGCTCTTCGCAGTGTTACTGTAAGATTTAATAAATGTCTGAGTTTCTTGTGAATGCTGTGTGCTGGCACCTAGCATCCCGTAGGCTCGTTGCCTTGGAGGAGTCCGTTTTGTGTGGTCCCCTCAGTCTTATTCAGGCCCGGCGACGCGGAGTTGCAGGGAGCCGCACAGGTTCTGGAGGAGGCAGTGGGTCAGAAGAGCGGTTTGGGGACCCTTTTGGGAGGTGTCAGGGCTTGTAGGTTCAGGATTGTTCTGGTTATTCTGGTTGAAATATATCTGCAGGATTCGTCGATATGTTTGCAGTTTATACGGGGTGTCGCACCAGGAATGAAGTTGCTGGAGCTGCGAAGCGTTCGCAGTTCAGTATCATCGGCACTAAAGTAAATACTACCAGTAAGCCAGCGGCTCGTTTCGACGAGGCGAGGGGTGCGACAAGCCGGGAGTCGGGAGTGATTCGTTCCCGGAAAATTTAAGACCTGCGTTGATGACTTTGCACACTGGCAGTTGAGCACAGTTGAGCGTCTGACCTCCAGACAGTATGCAAGAAATGTCGTGGAAACAGGATCCGTGGACGAAAGAATCAGGAAGTCGACCAGCCGCAGTCCCGCTAGAGCCGCTAGATACTGGTAAGGCTGCATCGAGATCTCTGGTCCAGATAAAGATTCCGCACTTTAACCTACCTGAACCAGCTCGTGACAAGCCAATTTGTTATAGAATGCCAACTTCCCGTGTATCATCGTATATCCTACTCCAAATTCCAAGTCATCTTTTACTGCACTGCCAGGCGATTGCGGACAACATCCGCCTCACACTGGGGCTTCGAGAGCTGAGGCACCAAAACTCGGTGTTCTCACGGTTTCGGCTTTTCCGGTTCTGACGTACTGATTAGGACACAGTGCAAGAATATGCAAGAGTTTGCAAATTCTACTCCTCGTCTTCGTTGCTGTGAAAGATGTGGGCAAAAGCTGCACATGCTTTTACGTACATGCCATGTTACGAATACGTAAAAGCACATGTGCGTGGATGATTGCGCACACGCTAGAATGCGACCGTTCGGAAGGTCAGGCTTTTGTTTGTACATCTGTCCTTCCGTGCCGGCGGATATCCGTTTATGGCTGCTTCTCTCTCTCTCGACGGTATCAGGGCTCCTGGCAATCAGAGCTTTGGGCCCGTGACAGACAGCTACCAGTAGAAACTGCAGCCTGTGAGGGGAGGTTTCCTCACCGTACACTGTCAGCTTCTTTAAAAGAAGCTGACATTGACATCTAGCTGGTGCTCAGACTGGAATGGAAGCTAGTCACTCGTCGCAAGTTGCGCGAGATTCGCTGCAAAGATCCCGTCGTTAGCCTAGGAAGCTCTGAGGTGTTGCAATGTTCATGAGGAAGTTGATGCATGTCGCCGCTTCGCCGCTTTGCTGTGCAATTCGATGCAGGGAGCGCCTCCCTGCTCTACAAGCAGCCTCGGAGAAGGCGGAGTTTGGAGTCTCGGTTTGCTTTTTGGATGTTTCTGGATTCACGAATCGAAGGGTTGCAGAAATCTCCTTCGCAGCAGGCGTACGCACTGCTCAACTCCTAGAGCCTCAGCGCCGTGCGCGTGGCCGCTTTGTGGCCGAAGCCGTTCCAACTCTGCCCAGCTTGGATGCAGAAAAAGTGACGAGATGGAGTGGTTCGTCAGCAAGTCCGACAGGACAGTCTACCCAGCAACTGCACCCATCTTGCAGCAGTGATTGCGGCGGACCTTACATGAGTCATGTATACACTCAGAGTGTATAGCCTCCCGTTCATGATCGTGCTTACCTGAATGTAGCTTGCGTTTGTGGCTCATGACGGTTGCCGGTTCATCAGTCCTGGTGCAACTATCGAGAAGCTGCCACCTCTGCGGAAACCAGTGATGCCAAATGCTTGCGCACTACTCGTAGGTGAAGATCAAGGAAGTGCGTTGCCTAGAGATAGATGAGGGCATGTCCTCAACTGCTCAACCGCGTCTGAAGATGTCTCATGCCGGTCCCTGAGCTGAGTGGAGCATTGCAGGCATCAGTGAGCTTCCAAAGTCGGCTTTTCCCCTGCTTCGCGAACTTCGCCCCAAGGCTCGGGGCCTTTGTCTTGGTTTGGTTCGGGCCGCCTCCTGGCTGGGCGGCGCTGACGCTGCGATCAATGAGCTGGAACGAGGACGCGTCGGGGGACAGTTCGGGACGCAAGGCTTTGGAGCAGCTCGATCATTACAATGCTCTCTAGCGTGAGAGACAGAGAGCGCATATCTTTGGAGGAGTTTCGCTTTCTGATCTTCACCGATCAGCCTATGTCATACTGGAAAGACGGAGAGAAGATTCCAAACGTTCAGCCCGTGCCCTATAGTATGCAAATATTCAGACATCCAGATCATGTCGCAGTCGACGCGATGGCAAGAACGATGCTTGTAAGTCCATCAGCCGGTGTAGTCAACATGTTCTTTGCTTCTAGCAACACGCCGTCTGGCTCAGGTTCCGATACCTGAATGCTTCAATGTTTTCGCGACTTGCGAGCAGGAAGACTGCTGTCGAAACGAGGCTGGCATTTCTCAGTCATGACTCGAAGGCAGTTTCTGTTGATGATGTCTTGGCTTTGCTGAGCAGGCTGCAGCACGGTTACAAACTCTGTGACTGGCGCATGGCATACGGAGATGCTTGGCTGAAGGGCCAGCACGGCGCGAATGGTTAAAACAAGGCGATCGGCTGTCGATAGGCAAATGATGGGACCATAAGCAGCAGCTGCCATCCAGCACATCCGAGCTCCTCCCCACTGTTGGACATCCATTGGGACGATCTGTGGCTGGGTCAAGCATGACGATAACGAGAAGTGGCTCGAGCAGGGCGTGGCACAGCTTCCGAAATTCCGAAACATGTGCCCTGTGGAGCAATTTCAGTTCATGTTGGTTAGGTAGATTGTGGTACACCTGCCTGGGAAATATACATGTACAATTTTGAAGTGAGCCCACAACCGCGAAAGAGCTTCACGTTTCCATGCATGCTCGGATGTTCGATTGTATGAGATGGCTCCGTACTAGTGGTAGTCTTTGTTTCTTTCAAGATCCAGCTTGTAGGAAACGGGGCCTCGTCCTTTCAGCCAAGCTCAACTCGATTTTGACAACTCAAGGAGATCTTCGCAACGTGGCTCCGGCAATTTGACTTCTGGGGCTGGGTGCCTGGACTTTTCTTGGGCCCAATGTGTTTTCACTCACTGTAGCCTGTGGCGGAGCAGCTCCCCGAACCCTGAACCCTGTAACATAAACCCCCAGCCCTCTTTAAACCCTAAGCCCTATACCCTGGGCATAGCAAAAATCCTAAATCTTGGGGAGAGAGTCGGAGGTGGACTTCGACGTGGTGCTTGGCCGCCTGGCCTTTTTTGGCTTCAACTCCTCGGCCCTGGAACGGCGAGACGTTGTTGGGGAGCCACTTAGTCTTTAAGTCTTTAAGCGGCTCTTTAGATGCAATCGGAGCTTCGTGCTCTGTAAAGAATGAAAGGCATCTGACCAACCTCAGCGAGAGCCGTCAGTAAGATGATGTCTGAAGTCTTACGGGTCTTCGCCAGTCCCGGGCACCTTCCAGGAGCCCTGAGGCTCCCAAGATCTCCCAAGCCCAGAGGTCGAGGTGCCACAAGCCAGAACTTGCACGGTGCCATGGGCGGTGCAAGATGTGGGGAGGGGGACACGCGCAAGACTGTGGCGGGAAGACGATGCAGGTGACCCCACATTACAGACGGCACCGCGTTGGAAGTAGGCTTTCAAGATCACACCAAAGAGCCAACAGAAGAGAATAATGAGCAGCGTCCTTGGAGGACTTTGCAACTTCGAGCGACTTTGTGTAGGAGAACCGCGCAGATGGAACAGGATGCGAGTTTGAAGCGTGTTGGTCTTGCGACTTCCGCGCAGCGGCACCCGTGCATGTCACGTCGGAACAAGTTAGTGCAACTGTGTTGGCGCACAACGCAAGCTTGTAGCAGTCACTTCCGGAAGCCGCTTAGCTGGTTACCCGTCGCTCCCTTCCCTTGCACATAGGTTTGGATGGCCTGCGCAGGGCCCATTGACGCTACTTCGCAATCGTCCTGACGTGACGCTGGGGCAGCAGCTACATGCAGCCACAGTATAAAAAGTTCCTAGAGTACTGCTTGCCCTCGCCCCAGGGCAGGGTATTGTTGAGCATGGCTCAACACCAAGGAATCGGCTTTGGAGGAAGCTGCCAGACGTTGCAGCGAGGCCAGACCTAGCTGACCTAGAGATTTTATGTGTCTCGCGTCTCCGGGACCCGCTTGTCAGTCCGCTTGTCGCAACAAGCCGCTAGCCTCCCAATTGGAAGTTGTAGCTATTAGCGATTATGCCACCGAATTGATTCGAGCAAGAGTTCACGGAAGACACTGTTTCTTCCACCTCGGGCCAAAGGTCTACGTCAAGGTGAGTATCAACATCAGAAAGACTGGTGATCCCTCTGTTACACCCTTTGGTAACTGTCCTGCACCATGCCAGGCTAAAGCGGCATGACATCCAACGTCTCAACGAGCCTTCGCTGAGAACGTTGTAGAAAGGCCGTGCACTCGTGTTGGGTTGTTATACTCCAGTTAAGTACACGACAGCAAAGTGCTTGAAGAGCATACATGCTAGCAGTGCCTTCAGAACACGCCCTGTGTGACTGCGCATCGTGGCAGCTGCAAAATGGCAAGTGCGAGATAAAGAGAGACCCACAGCAAGACCGAGCCCTCCTACAATCGTGCTTCATGACAGGTCTCATCCCCAAGCAGCAAGAATGGTGTACCGGACGTACAGCTTGCACACAGGGGCGCTCAAGTCTTGAGGGCGATTTCACAGTACCAAGTCGAAGACAGGTTCGTCACTGGCGAGAGTGGTGGGCCCGAGCCACTCCTAAACCCTTGATTCCCGCAAAGAGACACAGGTGGTACATGATGATTGTGATCCGGCTTCCAGCCTTACCGCCTCCCGCCCCTTTCCCCGTTGGACTGTGGGTTGTTGTTGTCATTGGGAGCATCGGTGTTCCTTCGTTCACCCTTGCATAAACTCTTATGAACCTCAAGCATGCAAGCAGAACAGAGTAAACATGGAGAGATCGGGACATATGTTGAGACCTATATACGATACATTCCAAAGCTTTTTCTGAGTGCGCCCGAGGAGTGGGCGTTTGGACGCCTGCTGTGGAAATCGTCGCTGGAGCGCCTCCCGCGACCTTTCCCAACACAGTGCCCCAAGCAGCAACCGATTCCTCGCTCTGAAGTTCCTTGTCAATGTTTGATGGTTCGAGACTTGTCTGGAAGGCTCTCGGCATCGCCTCGCCACGGCGACTCCTGGATGCAAAGGGTACTCGGAAGTTAGGAAAGCGGCCGACCCGTATACGGTCCACCAAGAAGGCTCGACTCTCTTCTCGGATAGTATGGATAGTATGGCTTTGTTTTTGGGCCTGAGCTACAAGTCACTACGAGCGGAGTGGAAGGTCCTCCTCAAGAATGCTGGAGTGCTGGACGGAAGCCGGTGAAATGCTAAGCTGAAACTCCCACTGCTTTCCTTGAGGACGGTGACATCATTTGGTCTGAAGGCTCCTCAGTCGAACTGGTGAGTGCAGTGGTTGATGTACGCAAGTTCGGCTTGCGTGCGGTGCAGGCCGCCTCTGGCATTTACCTTCATGCGGCGAGGCAGGCTACCTTCACTTCTCCCGCTGGAAGGTTGGCTGGCGAGCAGAGACAGGCTTTGCTACAAACGGAATGGAAGCGGAGACGAAGAGAAGGGAGTAATGCTTGCCTCGAGCCCGAGGCTTCTTTCGAAGGCACGATGCCACCGCCAACTGGGCAGGCTTGAGCGCAGCGTGTAGGGAGAATGTGCTGTCCATTCTGTCCATTGTCACATCATCCGACAGAATTCGAAGCAGCCGTCGGGGAGGCAGTGCAGCTTGGCCCGCGTGGTGCCACAGAGCCCTCACAAACTGCCTGGGCACAGCTGGAGCGCTGTCGGCAAACAGAGGCGCGCATGCAGTGCAACTTAAGATGAGCGTGGGTGCAGGCTGCAGAGTATCTGGCAACGGGCCATGTCTGCCGATGTCTTCTTCAAAGGGGCAGCAGATAAGCACTGAAGTCCTTCTATCGCCCTCTCCCGATGACACGCTCGCTGAGCTGAGCATGCCTGTGTAAGCAGCCTGGAGTGTTTTGCCAGGCTGGCGCTCGCTTCGCATGGGACTGGGACGATAGTACCCCAGAGACAGCTTTTTTTCGCAGCGGGCAAAAGGGACATTTTGCGGTTGAGGTCGGCTCTTCTGAGGGCGAACATGTGAACACTGAAGCAGCTCAGGTAGAGATGGTGCCCCTGCATGGTTCCCCACCTTACCCCCCCCCCCCCATTATGCTTCCCCCGGCCCCGTGGGGTTGTTTACGTGGGTTGTTTAACCCCCCCCTCGTTCCCCTGTGGTGTGGTGGTGGGGTTT